TGTGCACTCAAGAAAATGTTCCCTACAGCAGGATTTGAACCTGTATACCATTTTGTATGAGAAGCCACTGTCTGATCCAGCATGCTTTATCCGCTAGGCTACAGAATATAGCAAGGTTCTGTTTGTCTCAAAATATATTCATTTGTTCAAATTTAATCTTGAAAAGTCAGATTTGCTCAGTTTCATATCCAAAATGTAAACAAAGCAATTTCTGAAGGATTAGCTGATCTTATTCTTTAATGCAACAAATTTTTGATAATGTTTGATGCAATAAAAATATGTCAGCTTAAAAAATAAAATCCATTCTTTAGAATATATTTGTCTGTATGAATCACATTTGATGAGGCAGCATTTTTACAATAACATTGGTATTAGGCAACTGATGTTAGTTTAATTTTTTCAGTATTTCCTTATTCATATGTATTTATATACATATCTGATAAATATACTATGCAAATGTTAGCTTATAAAATCCTTTTTTATGAGAAATATTTACAGTAACTTATTTGGTAATGTGTGATCTTTATTATGCAACTTGAGGCATGTTTCATCATATGAATAAATATATATAATAATAATATAGTTATATCTATTTATATATATATATATATATATTTTTTGGAGTGAGAAGTTTCCAGGAGTCAGCTCTGACAGTCAGACTGAACATTCTTGCTGTAACACTCTCGTTTGTATATGTTTATTTTACTGTTTCTGTTAATATATTTGTGTAACACAATTCCTCTCTTTGTGTCCTTATTTCTGGCCCTAACAAGGCCACAACAATACTATAATGATAGTGGAGCAGTCCATTTTATTTACCATGAGTAATAGTATAGTTATTGGTATTCATTTACTAATTTCAGATCTGGAAAGACTTCTTGTAAGAAAGATATAACCTCAAAAGAAAAAGAAAAGTTGAGTGATAGGAAGATAAATTGTAAAAAAATCAAAGAGAGATCAAAAAATAAACAAAAAAAAGATCTATTGAAAACATTGGCAATATATGAGCAAAAAACAAATTGACTTTAAATATGTTAGTAAAAGAGATTTGAGAAAAATTAAAAGCAAGAAAAGTGGATTGACTGGCAAGAAAACATTTGAAAAAGTTGGTGTTGCAAACAGAAAGAAATGCTGTTTGAACATTAAGAACATTAGTCAATTTCATATCTTTCATCAAATTACCGCCTTCAAGTAAATATTGCAAAGAGTAATGTTTTAGTTGACTGAAGAAGTACATTTTTGTGATGCCAACAAACACTTGTTGCCACTTTTGTAATGTCAATGAATACTCGTTTTTACTTTCGTAATGCTCATTGTAGTAGAGACTTTGTAATCAGAGATACGACTATAGTAATGCCATTGAACAATACTGGTGTCAGATGCCTTTGAATAACACTTGCACTAATAGTACTTGCCTGATAATACTCATTCAAAATGTTGCTGCCAAATAATGATAGTGAATAGTATAAAGAAATAGTATAGAGAATAGCAATTAGTATATTAATAGAGGATAGTGTAGAAATAGTGATCTGTAATAGTAATAGAGGATAGTGTAGAAATAGTGATCTGTATAGTAATAGAGGATAGAATAGAAATGGTGATCAGTTAGATGCCACACTGATTCCCATATATATATTTCTTTTATCATCATGTGGTCTACTTATTAGAAATGGAATCACCTGTGTTTGCTCATTGTTGATCTGTGTTCAAACCTAAGTGTCAGCAGTGACACTTTATTTCTATATAACATACGTAAAGCCTGATTTCTCAATAGCAATATTTAGTGATATTAGGTAGAACTGATGACTAGACTAGGAGTTGGATTCTTCATGGAAACTGTCAATCAACACTACTTAAAATACAACAGGCAGCAGGTGGAATAATGTTTTTGGCAAGGCTTTCAGACAATGACATTATAGATGTCGGTTTCAGTCTTAGTTGAAATGAGAACAAAACACTTGTCCCTCCTCAGTTTATAGGCAGAAGTTCACAAATGCATACTGGGATTTTTTCCTAGCCTATAAAATAGGCTGGTCCTCTGTTTCATCTGACTCAGTCCCGGTCTGTCTTGTCTTGAAGTCAGAACGCTATGTTCACTTGTCCAAACTTGCTTCTGACATCAACTTCACTTCTTAGTTTGTGAACTTTTTGCCATGTTACTGTTGCTTTGTCTTACTACTGTTAATTTGCCTTGCATATATTGTTTGCTTAATATTATTTTTTGCCCCATTCTTTTCTTATTATAAACTCTGTCAATTTTGTTTGTTGGGCAGTTCTGTTACTTATTTTGCATTTAACCATGGCTACTCACTTCACAATATATCTCTTCAGAATTGATGTTAGTACTAAAATAAATTGAGAGAATGTAATTTCTTAGACAAGTTCTTTTTTGAGTGATAAAGTTTACAACCAAGAAACTTATAGCTGAAGAGTTTTCTTCAATCATGATGAATAATTGTACACTTGGTGAAGCAACCACACTGATTGCTTGGGGTCAAATCCGAGGGCAGACTGGGATCTTTAGCCTTGGTTAGTAAACATTTTAGGAGAAGGATAACTTTGAATTCAAAACCCAAGGAGGACTGTTTGGAGATATTGTGGCACACTATATGTGCAAGTTCTCTGTATTCAAGTCTTCCAAAAAGTGTGGTTGGTTGAATAGTAAGGCAGCCTTTACCACTATAATCAAATTATGTGTGCCAGGTAATTTGATTGTTTAATCCCATGAGCTGAGTAAATGGACCTTCAAGCATCAAGACTATAAAGATGTATCTATCATACTGAAAATTAGTGGATGGGGAACAAATCTTTAGTAGTCAGGAATTAATAAAAACATTACTGATAAGATAGATGCAAGATTTATACTTTTTAGTTTTATTTTATATTTAGTTTTGTGTGTGGCACCCAGTGAGGATCAAACTTACTGTTCAGTAGTAATTTTCAATAAGACTAGCTTTGCCAACCATTACCCCATACTGATGGCACTTTGTAAATACGTATACACACACACACACACACAAGCACAAAGTGGATGTCGAAAATTATCTTTGTATTGATTTGCATCTTATATATAAAATTCTATAACTTCTGTTAGTCAGTCTGTCTATCACACCCTCTAAAATAGCCATATATTGACCGATTGAAAACAAATTTTGGGGAGAAGTGCAAACAGAGAAGGGGCTACAAACTGCAGTAAGTTTTATTGAGGTGCATATCTTAGTACAATAAATTTTCTTTAATTTTGGGGGAAAAATTGAAGGTTGTATTATTTAACATAAAAAAATACTCCCACTAGTTTAAAACAATTTAATGATTAAAATAACAAGTACTTATTTAATAAAAATGCAATGTTATTTTTGCATATCTTTTTAAGTTTTTATATTTTAATGACTGGTTTGCAAAATTGAATGAAACATATAGTTTGTAAATCTCAATAAAAAAAAATGTTAGCAATTACTTCAACAATACTAAATCCTGTGAGGATTTCAACAGGTGTCAGCTTGTTGCAAAAAACCTTCTAGTAAAATAAAAATGACATAGAGAATCAACACATGTAAGTAGAAATGTCTGCCGTTGCATTTCCGAAGGTGCAGAACTGGTGTAATGGTTAAAAGCATGGACAACAGTTATGGCAATGATAATTGTAATATCATCCATTTCCTTATAAGGAAACATTTGCTATTCATTGACTGAGCAGCTTGTGCTACTCTTGGTTGAAATTTGTAAAATCTTTTTATCAAAACAATTTTTTCCTCAATTCCACTGTTATTGCACTTTTCAATATTGTTGGGGAACTTAAACTTCAACGCTTCTAAAACAAAACTGCTCTCTTTTAATCATCATGGAGATCCTTCCCTGCCCTCTATTAGAATCTCTGACACTCAACTTCTCGAGAGCAACTCTCTGCGGCTGCTCGGTCTCACGTTGACTGCTGACCTGAGATGGAATAAATACATTGACTCAATTGCTTCGTCCACCGCCAGGAAAGTTGGCTCCCTGTGCCGTGCCAGGAAATCTTTCTCCCCGGAATCGATCCTCCAGATCTACAAATCAACAATTCGCCCTTGCATGGAGTATTGCTGCCATATATGGTCTGGTGCCCCTTCTGTTTGCCTCGGGGTTCTTGATAGGCTCCAGAGGCGGATATGCAATGTAGTTGGCCCTGCTCTGGCATCTCGTCTACAGTCACTTTCTCACAGACGCGCCGTCGCCTCCCTCTGTCTGTTCTACAAATACTTTATGGTAATTGCTCCGAAGAGCTGCATTCGCTGGTTCCCAGACGTCATGAGTTCAAGCACCCTACGAGGATGGCATCCTCCTCTCACCCCTTCACTGTCGAAACTCCTAAATGTAGCCGTCTCTTCTACTCCAATAGCTTCATGTCTCGCACCTCTCACCTGTGGAACTCCTTTCCCTTCTCCTGTTTCCCTGTGAGCTATAACATACATGGCATCCATATGAAAGGCTATTTAATAACATGACTTGAATTTTTAGGATAATGTTGTGGTGTTGCATTACACTAGCTCCAGGGCAGACTATGCTATGTTCAATTTACTTATCACCTGTACTAAATTTGTGATAACTGACCTACAAACAGATATATTTGAAGTGTTTAGTATTTACTAATTCCACATTCTGAATTTTTATGATATATTCAGTGTATATGAAATCACTTCTTTCATTCCAATTCCAGATGATAGTTTATCTGGGAAAGGTTTATCTTTAGTCCTATTTCTTGTAACATTTGGTAGAGTATATTTAGTTTTTGTTCAAGATCATTCTTATTCTAACTATGAATGCCTATGTCATCAGCATAGTCTACCTTATCATCAGTACACTAGCATCAGGGAGGCAAAGCAGGAAGGCCTTTTTTGGGTTTTTTTCCCCTAATATCATTAGGTAAGGCATGAATCCACTTTTCCCATCAAGTCAAATCAAAGATTACTTTCAGCTGTTGATAATGTCACCCAGGATTGAGCAGCAAAGCCTTATGAAATGTTATGAATGGTAGCCAAACTATTTATGAGATCAGAGAATCTTTTGATTGTCAAAGGATTTTATTCCTTATTCCTTTTGTCTCTGATTTCTTTCTCTGTTCCTTCTTTTTCATGTTTTTCTTTCATTCCTTAATCTTCTTGTCTTTCATTTCTTTCTCTGTCCCTTATCTAGGCTGTTTTTCATTCCTTATTCTTTTTTATCTTTCATTCCTTTCTCTATTTGTTCTTTGCCCTAGTTTTCTCTGCTTATTCTTTTTTTATCTTTCATTCCTTTCTCTATTTCTTCTTTGCCCTAGTTTTCTCTGCTTATTCTTTTTTTATCTTTCATTCCTTTCTCTATTTCTTCTTTGCCCTAGTTTTCTCTGCTTATTCTTTTTTTATCTTTCATTCCTTTCTCTATTTCTTCTTTGCCCTAGTTTTCTCTGCTTATTCTTTTTTTTATCTTTCATTCCTTTCTCTATTTCTTCTTTGCCTAGTTTTTCTCTGCTTATTCTTTTTTTTTATCTTTCATTCCTTTCTCTATTTCTTCTTTGCCCTAGTTTTCTCTGCTTATTCTTTTTTTTATCTTTCATTCCTTTCTCTATTTCTTCTTTGCCCTAGTTTTCTCTGCTTATTCTTTTTGTTTATCCCTCATTCTTTTCTCTTACTTTTTCTCTGGTCTTCAAGCTTTCTATCTTTTCATGTCCTGGTTTTCCTTCCTCATTCTTTCATTCATTCCTTTTTGTACTCTCAAAAAAATTGAAACAACATATCACATAGAACATATGCATCAATAAACCTTGGCACTTGACAATAAATAAAGAGTTAAAAGATCACTGACAGCATTTGAATCACAGTTACATTAAGGCACCACTTACACTGCACATCTCGAAATATTGTCATTATCATTCCTGAAAAGTTCTTGCAATTTGGATTTCCTGTTAGCATGTCATGCCTGACTGGTTTCTCTTGGAATAGCTTTTGAGTCTGTGTAATGGTTAAGGTATGACCATATGACCTTGTTCATCAGCAATTAGTATCATGCTTGACCGATTCCACAGTACCATATTTCTTATAAGGACTTCATTTCTTGATGAGGAATCTCTATTTCTTTTGTCCAAATTTAGCTCTGTTCCTTCTCTATTTTTCTAATTCTTTTCTGCTTTCCTTCTCGTCTCTTTTTTTCTTTGTTTATTCTTTCAATTTTAAATATTCTTTCATTCTTTGTGTTTCTTGTGTTCTTTTTTTTTTAAATTCTTTACTGTCACCATTACTCATTCTTTCACTTTATTCTTCATTCTCTTCATATTTTTCTTTTGCTCTTTATTCTTCCTCTATTGTGTTCTGTCTTTCATTCTTTCTCTCAATCCTTTCCAGATTCCCTTCTTTTTCCTTTATCTTTCTTTCTTAATTCTTTCTCTTTTAATATTCTTTCTTAATCCATTTTTTTTCTTTTTCATTTAATTGTTTAATTTGAAGGTTTTTCTTTAATTCTTGATATTTACCAAATTTAACTGTTTTGACAAAGTAGAATGGAAAATGAATATGAAAAAGTTTTGAAGGAAATGAAGAATAAGGAATGAAAATCAGGGTGAAGAATGGAGTAAAAAATGGAAGTTGACGTTAATGAGAAATAAAATGCTATAAAGAGAAAAAAATAAAGAAGAAATGCAAGAATAAAAGAATAAAAAAATTAAAATAATAACAATGCAAAGAATAATGAGGAAATAACAAATTTAAAGAAATGACTAAAGAAAGGAATGAGAGAATGAAAGAAATAACAAATTTGAAGAATGACTAAAGAAAGGAATGAAAGAATAACAAATTTGAAGAATGACTAAAGAAAGGAATGAAAGAATAACAAATTTGAAGAATGACTAAAGAAAGGAATGAAAGAATAACAAATTTGAAGAATGACTAAAGAAAGGAATGAAAGAATAACAAATTTGAAGAATGACTAAAGAAAGGAATGAAAGAATAACAAATTTGAAGAATGACTAAAGAAAGGAATGAATAAAAAGAAAAATGAGAATCATGAATTAGTCATTTATAGATTTTCATTTAGTATTTGAAATTTTAGGATTGACCCCCAATAAGAAATATACCTCCATATCTTTCCCACCAAGCAGGTCATTTTTTCATTTTTCATTTTTCTGGCTCCTTCTTTGCATCTTTTTATCTCATTTTTCTTTTTCCTTCTTCTTTTCTTTTCTTGCTCTTCTAATTTTTTCAATCACCTTTTTGTGTAATTTTTTTTGTCTTTCTCTTTATTTTTCCTTCCCAATCATTCATTTACTTTTATTTTTTTAATTTTCTTCTTTCTTTTCTTCACTTTATCTTTCTTTTCTCTCCCCTCTTCATTTCTTTCCTACCTTTTTCTCCACTCTCTTTTTAATGTCATACTTTCCATCTTGTTATTCTCTTCTTTTCCCATTCTTTTCCTTACCATTGATTACCATTACATCTTTCTTTCACTTCTTACTCATCTCTACTATTCCTTCTTTTTTCCTGGCTTTACTTCTCTCTTTTTTTTTTCCCACTGTATCATCTTTCCTTCCCTTTTTCTTATCATTTTAATCTTTTCTCTTTGTAACACATTTTTCTTATCTTCTCTCTCCTTCCCTGGGATATCAACTCTTCCGACTTCCATCCTCCCCTCAAACATCATTTTACCTCTAATTATTCCTCTTTCCTCCCCCCATTTAATAATATCCTCTCTCCCCAACTCATGCTTCTCTTTCCTTCCCACTGACATCTTTTCTTTCTACAATCTCTTGTTCCTATATCTTCCTTCCTCTCAAAATTATAATTCTTTAGTCTCTTTAATATCTAAAGAAATAATGAATTTTTATTTATTAATCTGACATAATTTTATCACTTTGAATGTCGTTTTTAGTGGATACCCATATTTGAGTAGATGCCCATTTATTTTAAACAGTATTTATTTTCATCTACTGGCCTGAATATTTGAGAAGTCTTAATAATGAACATTGTGCCCTCAGATATTTTCCACCCCACTCTCTATTCATTGTTTTGATTCATTCTTACTCTTTCAAACATCATTCTTTCCTCTTTTGAATATATTACTTTGTCATTTCATTCTTTTCTTTTTTGTAGTATATTTCCTTTCTTTCTTTTACCTCTTCTCTGTATTAAATTTAATTTCTTTCTTTCTAAAAAAAATCTTTTCTTCTTATTATTAATATATTCTTGCTTTCTCTTTATCTTTTTTCTTCTCAGTAGAACATTTTCTTTGTTTTTTTTCTTTCTTCCCCCCCCTCTCTATATTACATTTTCTTTTTTTCACTTCCAAACATCTGTTTTAAACATATCTCTTTGTCTTTCCCTTTTTTTCATCTCTGTAGTACATTTTTTTATTTTTCTTCACTCCTCTCTCTTTTGTATTTCCTTTCTGTCTTTTTTCTTCCTGCCTCTCTATATTACATTTCCTTTTTTTTTTTCTTCTCTCCTCTCTGTATCCCATTTCTTTTCTTTTTCCGCCCTCCCCTCTCTATTACATTTCCTTTCTCCCCCCCCTCCCCCGTTCTGTATTACATTTTATTTCTTTTTCTTAAATACCATTCATTCCACTTTTTAACATTTCTTTCTCTTTTCTTTTTCTTTTCTTTTCCTTTTCTTTCCTTTCCTTTTCTTTTCTTTTCCTTTTCCTTTTCTTTTCTTTTCCTTTTCCTTTCCTTTTCTTTTCTTTTCTTTTCTTTTCCTTTTCTTTTCCTTTCCTTTTCCTTTCTTTTTCTTTTTCTTTTCTTTTTCTTTTTTTTTCTTTTTCATTTCTTTTTCTTTTCTTATCTTTTTCTTTCCTTCCTCTTTACCCCCTTTCTTTGTGGTACATTTCTTTCTTTTTTTCCCCCTCTTCTTCTCTTTCTCTCTCTCTCTCTCTATTAAATTTCCTTTCTTTCTCTCTAAAAGATCATTGTTCTTTCTTTTTCCATTCACAAATGGATTGCAAGATACCATATTTTTCAAATGGCTTCCACCCACCTCTTTGGCTGTTATTGGTACTACAATGACTTCAAGAGAGGCCATTTTTTTTATCATCCTCATCATCATAATCATGTTACTTTTTGTTTTTGCCATTTTTGCTTTGTTTCTCTTTTCTTTCAACATATTATCGATTGTTCTTGTTCTATCAAAATCTTTTTTCGTCCAACAAAAGAATTGAGTAAAATAATACATCATAATTCATTTTTCATATAATTTTAAAAATTGTCTTCTTTTGTTATTTATTTCTCTCTCTCTCACCCGACCCATTTTTCTTTCATCTTCCCTAACGTTTCCTTTCATTCTTCTCTTCTTTTTTTTCTTCTTCCTACTCTCTTTCAATCTGCTAATTTTTTTTCCTCTTCTTTCTCTTTCAATTTTTTTTGGTGGAGAGGACTTCTTCTTTCTTTTACTTTTTCTTCTCCCCCCCCCCCACAAACTCTCATTTCTCACCTTCCCCTCTAAACTTCTTTTACTCTTAATTATTTTTTTCATATTCTTTTTATCTCTTTATTACTGCCTTCTTTTTCCATATTTTTTTTTTTAATTCCCTTCTCAATTCTCTTTTTTTCTTCTTTTCTTTTCTTTTTTCTTTTCCTCCTACTGTTATTTCCCCCTCCTCCTCTTGTACAACTCGAATGAGTTTGGGGGGTGGGTTTGTCAATTTAAAGACAAGAACAAATATATTGAATTAAAGATTTGCTGCATTTGAAGTTTCTGGAAGGTATTATTATATTGAAATATTTAAGATGTATTCCATTTCCCTTTTCCAGAAACATGCTATCCTAATGAAGTGCATGGAAAATTCTTACAAAAAACACAAAATGGTAATGCCAACACACTTGCCTTAGAAACCTGATGGTAGAATTTCCTGCAGGCCTTTTTACTATTTTCAAATTTTTAAAGCAAGAGTATGCAGATATAAGACAAATGAGAGAGAAATGTAGAGATAAAGAAAGAGATCAATAATATGAGAGAGATACAGAGGGGGTGAACATCAAGAAGAGAATGTGTTAGAGGTGAGAGGGAATGAGAGAACGAAGAGGAGCATGAGAGCGAGGGGATGAGAGAACGAAGAGGAGCATGAGAGCGAGGGGATGAGAGAACGAAGAGGAGCATGAGAGCGAGGGGATGAGAGAACGAAGAGGAGCATGAGAGCGAGGGGATGAGAGAACGAAGAGGAGCATGAGAGCGAGGGGATGAGAGAACGAAGAGGAGCATGAGAGCGAGGGGATGAGAGAACGAAGAGGAGCATGAGAGCGAGGGGATGAGAGAACGAAGAGGAGCATGAGAGCTTAGGGGATGAGAGAACTAAGAGGAGCATGAGAGGGGGGATGAGAGAGCGAAGAGGAGCATGAGAGCGAGGGGATGAGAGAACTAAGAGGAGCATGAGAGCGAGGGATGAGAGAACTTAAGAGGAGCATGGAGAGCGAGGGGATGAGAGAAACTAAGAGGAGAGAGAGCGAGGGGATGAGAGAACGAAGAGGAGCATGAGAGCGAGGGATGAGAGAACGAAGAGGAGCATGAGAGCGAGGGGATGAGAGAACGAAGAGGAGCATGAGAGCGAGGGGATGAGAGAACGAAGAGGAGCATGAGAGCGAGGGGATGAGAGAACGAAGAGGAGCATGAGAGTAACTGAAAAGAATATGAGTGAGTGAATGAGAAAACGAAGAATAGAATGAGAGAGTGAGTGAGAAAACGAAGAATAGAATGAGAGAGTGAGTGAGAAAACGAAGAATAGAATGAGAGAGTGAGTGAGAAAACGAAGAATAGAATGAGAGAGTGAGTGAGAAAACGAAGAATAGAATGAGAGAGGAGTGAAAATAGAATGAGAGAAAAGAATAGAATGAAGAATAGAAAACGAAGAATAGAATGAGAGAGTGAGGAGAAAAACGAAGAATAGAATGAGAGAGTGAGTGAGAAAACGAAGAATAGAATGAGAGAGTGAGGAGAAAACGAATAGAATGAGAGATGAGAGAAAAACGAAGAATAGAATGAGAGAGGAGGAGAAAACGAAGAATAGAATGAGAGAGTGAGTGAGAAAACGAAGAATAGAATGAGAGAGTGAGTGAGAAAACGAAGAATAGAATGAGAGAGTGAGTGAGAAAACGAAGAATAGAATGAGAGAGTGAGGAGAAAAAGTGAGAAAATAAATAGAATGAGAGAGTGAGTGAGAAAACGAAGAATAGAAAGAGTGTGGGAGTGAGAAAATAATTAGGAGAATGAAAAATTAAGATGAAAATGAGAAAGTGTGTGAGAAAATGAAGAAATAGTAAAAGAAAATGAGAATAAAAAATGGAAATGTGAAAGAGAATAATTGGAAGAGATTGAGAATGAAAGAAAAAAGAGAGAGAGGCAAATAAATTAAAGTTTAAGGAGTCAGTGAAAAAAAAAATCACTTATCAGCCAATATCAGAGAAGCAATCCAGTTGTACTAATATATATATATATATATATATATATATATATATATATACACACACACACACACACACACACACACACTGCCTTCTTTGTCTAATCTCGCTCATGACAGGAGTGGAGAAAATCTTTTTACAAAATAAGTTAACCTGATTTGGATTATCTTATTCCTCCTGAAGATGGAAACTATGTGAAAATGTTCCTCACATGGCAGTATTAAGCATGAATTCATTTATGCCTTTTTGGTAAGTTCAATGCCACTGGTATCAGTAGATGGGGGCATTCAAACCCTGATAAAATCAGAGATCTTGAATGAAACACAATCTTGCAAGGCTCCGTTTAATCATGGGATGTACAAAGCTTTATCTTTTTCTATGGGCTGTGTCCCTTCAGGATATATTGGGACAATCATGGTTCTTCACAACTTTCTATTCTTTCTTAGTAGTATTTGTCTCTTAACATTGCTCCCCCTGTTCCACCATCTATTCACACAAGCTCTTCAGGTATATGGCCCCCTGTCTCTTCCTGTTCTTTTTGTCTTTGATATGTTCCTCATTAGGTGTCCAAGAAATCTTAGCTATCTCATTCTGATTCTAAGTACAAGTATCTTTATTGTTTTCATTTTCTTTAACATTTCCCCATTGCTTATGCACTCTGTCCATGATATTGTAAGCATCCTTCTATAGAAGCAATTTTCTGTTGCCTCCACTCCTCCTCTTCAATTGTCAGGAAATTGTCCAACATTTACTGCCATATAGGAAGATTGATATTACATAGCAATTCCGAGCCTTTCTCTTTGTTTCTATTGAAATTTTCCAGTTTCTTAATACTTTGCTTAACTTTTGGAAGGCATCTTTCCCTATTCCAATGCTCCTTCAGATTTTGGTGTCACATTTTCCATCTTCTGTTAAAACACATCCCAGATATCTAAACTTTTGTATTTGTTTGGTGTTGATATATCCAATTTGTAGTTCATATATTGGACTTTTTTTATTTGCTCATAACCATACATTTTATCTTCTTACAGTTGATGATATTCCTTTCTTCTCAATTTCCTCATTAAATATCACTCTGTAAATAATTCTTACATAATATGTATCAGTTCACTGAAACCAGAAGTGTGGGTTCATGTTTTGGTAAAAGCCAACAAGAGGAAGAAGTCCAAAAAAAATTTTTTATTTTGTTTTTTCTTTCTTTTTTTAAGAAAATCTTTTTCTATGGTTTGGACACTTCATCTGGTCTTGAGGCTATTTTTTGAGCATGTCCAATGTCTTCTGAATATTTTCAGATTTTATAAGCCATTATCAAAGAGGTTTGTATGTCAATAGGGTTACAATATCGATAAGTGTGCATTATATTTCTTTGTTTGCTTTCGAGGGTCCCTGCAGGTGGGTGTCATGTTTTTTCCAAGCATCATGTCTTCTTGTGTCAGTTTGTTGTGTGTTGTCCTATTTTTAATTTTTTTATATTGTAAAATATATTTATTATGTTACTTTGGTATAGATATATTTGAATTGGACTAATTGAGTAAGCGCAAAGGCATCTTGAAACAACTATTTTATCCTGATTTGTCACAGACATGAGTTTTTTAGGGTTTTTTTTTTTTGTTAGAAACAAAGAAGTAAGTATTGAACAGTTACATAATATCAGTCCTCTTATATGATCATGAATGCTGGGCAATGTCCTCATAGATAAAGAAGATACTTGAAGCAACAGAACATATGACCAATGATGAAGTTTTCAAAGGACATTTATACTTAACATCAGAAAGCAATAGTTGAAAGTTCTATGACCCATAACGAGGGAAGAGAGCTTAGAAAATTTGATGCTCATAGGACAGATAGAAAGCAAAAGGAAAATAATGCATAACCTACATAGTGAGCTTGTTTAAATGGATTATGGAACAAGGTTTAGGAGAGATAAAAAAAAGACAAGATTTATTAAGAGCTACAAAATATGGTGAATTGTGGGGAGCCTGGATTTGCCGATGTCAGTCGTTTCCTAAATAACCCCAAATACCGACTGCTCAATCCATCCAAAAATAATTGGTATTATCAGCAAAACCATTCTGGAAAGAGTAAGTATACTAAAAAGGCTTTAGGTATCAACCAGTGATGAAATACAGCCAAAGTTATTGAATGGTTCAGTAATATAAAAAAGAAAGAAGAATGCACATTTTGGCAGTTTGATATTTGTGACTTCTATCCAATCCATCATGGAAGATCTACTGATGGCCGCTATTAATTAGTGAAGCAATTCTGCCATATTTCTGACCAAGAAGTAGATATAATAAGAAAGGTGCAGAAACCGATTCTGTACCACACTGGAAGTCTATGGACAAAGAGAAATAACCCAGACTTTTGCTTATCCGTGGGAGCACATGATTCTACAGAAGTACGTGAACTTGCATGGATACTGTTAGTATGCAGACTCAGATTTATCTCTGATATATAAAAAAAAAAACAATGGTATATACAAAGAAGACGGGATAATTCTCCTTTGTAAACTGAGACAAAGACAAGCAGACCAGATGAGAAAGAACCTGATCAATTTCTTTAAGGACCATAACTAAACATTAACACCTATACTAGCACTAAAGTGATCAATTTCCTAGACATTTGACTTGAGTAAGGGCCTGTATAAACCATAGGATTCATGCAACTTTCTGGGAGATTAATATAAACTAATGTTTATGCCTTGCATTATTATTCTCAGAGACAAAATTCAAGGATGAGATTTAAATAAAACTAGTAGTACCTGTGAAAATTTCATGGTTTTTCCTATTTTAATTTTCTGATGAATCATAATTCTTCTGTCATTGATTGAATAAGTTCCTTGCAATTTCCATGACAATTAAAAATTAAAGGGTAAAAATGAAAATGCAGTGGAATTTCAGTTCATGAATCTAATTCGTTCCTGAAGGTCATTTGTAACCCGAAATATTCATAAACCAAAACTATTTTCCAATAGGAATCAATGTAGAGAAAAAAAAAGTCAGAGTACAATAAAATTGGAAAAGAAAAAGCAAACCACAACATACAAATGTATACAACATGGTGGTTGACTCGGAAATTATTCTGTTTGGGTTAACTCAGTTCGACAATGTTGTTCAAGAACCAAAATTTTGTTTAATAACTGAGGCATTTTCATCTCGAATTTTCTGTTCAACATGTGAGTTGTTCAAGAACCGAGGCTGCAGTGTAATTAAAATTGATAACTTTTTCCATTTCACTGAAACAGATGTTAAACACTATCAGTATGACTAGCATTATTACCTCTTTTTCTTACTGAAACCAAACATCATCTCTTATATGTCTTTTCTATCTTTCCTCATAGTCCGTTATTTATGAGGCATTGGCAGAGTATAACATACATGATAACTAACAAAGGAACGGGCAGAGTTAGAATCATGCAAAATAATCCTCCTTCCAATATTCTTTACATCATTTGTGATGTTTTAAAAAGAAAGCAAGGTGGTAATTGTCTTAGATTTAATAAAGGGTTGTGTTCAAAATTCCCTGAAGGTTACTAAGATAGTCCAACACCTGAACAAGGTTGGAAAGCACAATGAGTGAAACTTAGTCATGATAACAAAGGTGAGGATATTATTCTGACTGTAACTATTATAATTAATGATCTCTCTGTCCGTATTACTGTTAATAATAGTGATGAAAGGACAGATATAACATTATTATAATCATTTCAAAGATCATTGAAAAACCTTTGATTAATTGATTTGTTTAACAGTAAATAAGCTTACATAGGAATAAAGTGTCACTGCCAACATTTGAGTTTGAACATAGATCACCAGTAGACCACATGACCATAGAGGAAATGCATATATAGGAGGTAGTGTGTCTAATTGATTGTATTTCTGGTCTATCCTCTATTACTATACGAACCTCTATTCTCTATACTATTTCTCTATTCAGATTACTATGTGAGCGAGTATTATCGAGTAAGTACTATTAATGCAAGTGATATTTGAAGGCGTCTGACACCAGTATTATTCAATGGCATACTATAGTTGTATCTGCAATTACAAAGTCTCTACTACAACGAACATTATGAAAGTGACAACAAGTATTCATTGACATCACAAAAGTGTCAAAAAAGTGTTTGATAACCTCATAAAACAACTCTTTATGGGTCATTTAATGCTGAAATTTAATTTTCTTGGGAACTTTGAAGTAATAAAAATATGATATATGTTATTCTGCTTTCACAATTGAATACATGGTAGATAATACTCAGCTTTTGTGCATATACATGTTTGTGTGGACATAATTACTAGATGTGGTGATATGTGTTTTATATTGTAGCTTTATTGAAGTTATACTTTGGAATACACTTTGATTTCTTTAAAAAGCATATGTTGTATAGCCCCCTGGTTGGGGGAGGTCCCATCCCATCCTCTCTTGTCCAATGACCACTAGTTGTTTTGAGATAGCAATGAATGACATCAACAGGGAGAATTTTAACCTAGGTATTTTATTAATGTCAACATGTAGTATCCAGTGGAGGTTGTTCCCCCTCACTGGGGAGCTGTTTCAGACACAAAAGAAAACATGTTTACATTGTTTGATGGTTAAGACTCGACTCTCTGAAAAAACTTTATCTATCTCTTTTCCCATGCTAGCTTAGCCAATCAAAATTGACTACCTTATTTTAGCTTGCATATAACCTTGAAGGTCAACCTCCAGAAGTTACATCTGAGATACAATTACCCCTAAAAATAATAGTCAACTAAACTGTTATTTAACAGTTATATAGATTAATGTCATGAAAGAGTTCCTTCATGTTGATTGATGTATTGTTGGTAATTTTACTATAAATAGATATAGTTGGTGATTTTATCTATATATATAACCATTATTTTTACTATAAAAATGTATCTTTCATTTTTGTTGGGGGAGAGGTTTGCTATTTATCCATAGCTGTTACACTAACAGGTGCTACCACCCTGGGTAAGAGTGGACTTGGGAATAAAAGCAAATGACAATGTCCACTCTCCTGATCAGAGTTTATAGTCATACCCAGGACTCGAAACACATTTAAAATTATTTGTATATCAAATCATAATTGCATTTTCTACTCTGAATATATTCTCTGCAAGAGGCTTATTTACTTTTTTCTGAAATCTATGATATCTCTCTCACCCTTTAACATATGATGCTTATGAAGGGGTGCTGAAAATTCTCAGAAGGGAGAATGAACCATGAACTGCACGTCATTCTACATATTCCCCTGATAGTCCAAACACACTTCAAACATTGCTTCTCAGGTTTCTTTAACTGATAACTGCAGCATTCTCATAAATTATAAACCTAACACATTTCCTGGATATCTCTAGTGTCTCAGCAAAATTAAGATCATCGACATGAACAGCAGTTTTTAGGAGTTACCATTACTGACGGCTTCCCACACTGTATTGTATCTTGGGTCTCAAAATCTCTGCTCTAAAAGTTTTAGAAGAAAGTGTTAGGTTATTTTTTATTAGCTGTTTAATCTTTGGAGTTACAATGTGGTTGTAGGTAATGTAATAGGAATTTATTTTGATATATGCATTGTTTTGATTTTTTAAGTATTTCTATAGCAAAATTAAATAGTATATTTTATATGACAAATTCTAAATATTAGATAGATATAAAAGTGGTGTGAATATACATACATACATGCATATTAAATACAATAATAAAATTTGCATTAAAGTCTTCATCACTATAAAAATGTACATCTCTCAATATAAAATATAAAAAAATATAATACAGAGCAAACATATATAATTTCTTAAAAATTATAGACTTTACATAATTTCCTAAGAGATCTCTTTGATTATTTGTTTCTTGTGCAAACCAGAATCATCAGACAATAAAGAGGAACAGAGTTGAAGGTTAGCAGGGGAGTGAAAGAGATATGAGGTATATATGCAGCCTTTGTACCTTCATGCTTGGGAAGGATGAAACCACAGTAGCTGGGTAAGGTCATTATTGTTATATCTTTTTAAAATAATAATTACTATTTACACTACTTATATAGTTTGGACTGTTGTCACCATCTTTATTGTCATATTCACATGGCCCAGTGGATAAAAGCATTGGTTGAATTGTCCAGTGACCTGACCCAAACACTTTATGTGTTGTGAGTTCAATACTTGGCCACAGCAGAAGTGAACAAAAACTTAGAAAGTTGAGTTACTAAAGGGAAATAACTGCAACTAAGATATCTAAAAAAAGGAATGGCACATGGGGCTAGAACAATCTACTCGGTGGACAAAATATAGGGTTTGGTTTGAAATTCTATGTATGTCACCTGAAGAAGGCCAAAGCATACAACAGCTGAAATGTCATTATTATGACAATAAAGATGAAGACAACAGCCCGAACAATGTAAACAGTTACAATACCTCATCTCAGAAATATAGACAGATAATATTTATTGTTCTACAGACTAGTTAGTGAACACTTGTCTAAAATCAACTGGTCAATTTCAGAGGAGACTTTATTTCAGAGTTGATTTGTAAAAGAGGAAATTCTATAAATAGCTCCTATTATTGTAATAGTAGAGCACTTTTTGTCTGGTGGGTGAAACTGCAGTAACTTGGTTAGGTTGTTAGATCTTTTTAAGATAAAGCTTAAGAATATTGCTGTATGGGCTAGGTATTTAGTCCTGACTAAAACCAACTTGAAGTGATTTTGGCATAGGCTTTATCCTGTAGTTGTGAAAATAATATATATATATATATATATATATATATATATATAGAGAGAGAGAGAGAGAGAAAGTGGGAGGTATATAGATACAAACACCAATTTTGATTTAGCTGATCTTTCTTTTGGGATGTTGATGAAATATTTGTAGTTTTCAGTATATTTCTAATATTGTTATTCATATGCTAAAAAGAGTTATAAAAACAAGTTGCTTAAGACATTTTTTTCATTTTTTAGAGGAGATATATTTTCAGAGGCAAAAGTCTTATTTAAACTAGGCTTACAGCCATATCATGTTGAAACACCAATTCTTGTCCAGTTACTGAAGTTAAGGAATGTTGAGCTTGGTTAATACCTAGATGGGTGACTGCTTGGGAATACCAGGTGCTGTAAGCTTTGATGTACAGATGGATAACATTTCTTCATTGAAAATTGGAGAGCTGTTCCAATTCCAGTCAGGTTCGTCATATTCACTTATGCACAAATACCCTTGGGAAAGGTATGAGTCTATCTGTTTCCCCCTAGCTATGCGTTAACTAGTGGGACTTCTGTTGGTTAAAAAAATGATGTTAGTGTCAAACCATTGACAAACATAAAAAATATGTGTGAATTATATTGCTGAAAATACTTCTATACTTTTTCATAAACATAAACTAAAAATTCTCAAAGCTATCCATATTAAAAAATTGAAACCAAACCTTAATAAAAATTATTACAAATATTCCACAAATGTGTACAATAGTTTGAAATGCCTAGGTTTGCACTAATAGTTATTTTACTACTTTGTAAAATAACTCTCCACAGCCTTATTTAGTTACCTCCCCTTAAATGGTGTCAGCGATCATATGTTGACTCAGCGTTCTTCATTCTACAAGTAAGAAATTTAACTTTCAGTTGAACACAACAATATTTGTCTTGCAATAAACAACATCCTGATGATGACATTGTGCTATGTGGAAAGTACTCAGAACAAAAGAAATATGTATCAACATGGCAATTTTCTTTCGGCCTTCAATAACTACACCAAAAAGCTTATCCATGAATATGAAAGGATCCAATTGAAAATAAGTAGACAGAACAATGAAAATATGCTGTCAAAATACACACACACATATATATATATATATATATATATATTACTTATGTATGAATGGCAACATTGTGTTTCATGGGCACCTTTATATCTAATCAGTAAATAGTTATCATCTTTCAAAAATTCTTACATTTCAAAAATATTTTCTGGATTTAAATAACCTGAAAAAAACAAATTACTTACTGACAGATGATATGCAAGAAGTTTCAGACCCTATTTTTCAAGTCTATAGAGTGACAGTAAGAATTCCTAAAATACATAAAACTTCAATAAAATCTCAGTGCCATCTAGATTATCATTTTCAGTGAGCTGCCCAAAATCATGAGAATAGAAATGGAACAGGATAATAAATTCCTTGCTTGTCACATTCAGTGATGCCTAAAAAGGAATCTGAAGACAAAATTTAGCCATGCCCCATCCACACACACTTATGTATATATAAAAGTTTTAAATTCCATTGCTTATTGATTTTTATCCCTGTACAAAAAAAATAAAACAAAATAAATAAGGAAAAATGATTAAAGACTGAATCAGGGTAGCAGGTCACCTCTCAGCTCATGAATCATTTGGAAGAATATATAATCAGTGTCTCTCTTTTAATCTCATTTATATATATATATATATATATAATATATAATACATAAAAATAAATGAGATTAAATATATATAGTGTGCACATATTTTATATATATATATATATATATATATATATATATATATATATATAAATAAATGAGATTAAATATATATATATAGTGTGCACACATTTATATATTTATATATATATATATATGAGAGAGAGAGAGAGATATCTATATACATCTATATATGTGTGTCTGTGAATATATGCATATTCTTTTTCTTAATGTTCATTTACACTCAGTAACCCCTTGCGTCTTTGTAGCTTTTGGGGTTTGAAATGATTGAAAAATAAAAATATGTATATTCACTAAAAAATCTATTTTCCAATGATTGGATGTAAAGGTATCCATGAAACTCACTGTTGGCAGTCGTTCATGAGTAAATTATTATTACATACTGCATGTTGAATGTTTATCATTACACTAAGATTAATTTTCATATTTTTTTTTTAAATTGAATTTTTTGAAATGTTATACAATTTTTTAAATAGAACTAACACGTATTTTATGATTTCAGACATTAGGTTTGGAAATGGTTAAAAATTTAACTAAAATAATATCCATTTTAGAAATTTACAAGGCAAAGAATTCTCCAAAAATATTGCCAAATCATTGGAAATGAACAGAATGTTTGTTTTGGAGGTACATCTAAAGAGACTGGGGATGTGAATGATCAGTAAGGACAAAGTTGTGCTTGAACTGCTCAAAACCCAGAGCTCTTCAAATCTCAAAGCTCAGAAGAAGACTGAAGAAGTCGCTCACAAATCTTGCAAATGATGTGAATGTGTCCATTGGAACCATGTCGACCATTCTCCATAAAGACCTTAAGACAGCTTCTTACAAACACCAAAAGAAACTGCTGGTATCTGCAACCTTCGTGGAGAAACAAGAAGTCAGATGTCAAGTCCTCCTCAAGTACATTCAGGTAGGGACATTCCCTAACCTTGTGTTTAAAGATGAGAAGAAATTTGATATTCAACAGCATTTTATCAGCCAAAATAATCAGATATGGTCTTGAACTGAAGACAGAGCCTTGGACATTTACTCAAAGATAATGAGTAGCTTTTGTGATCATGTGAGCTGCTGCAACTGGGACAGGAAAAAGTTGTCTGGTTTTTGTGAAGGCCTTCTTGAGTCATTGTTGTTGCCTTGGGTTAAAAACATTTAAAAAAAAATATCTAATATCGGTCATTCCAGCAAGAGTTAGCACTCTCTTATGGGGCCAAAACAAGTCTGAGTAGCTAGCAACCCATGTTCCTCACTTCATCTTGAAGGAAGAATGGCCTCCATCATCCCCAGACCAGAATCCTCTTGGCCATCGCATTTGGGGTATCTTAGAAAATAAAGTTTCTGCTTCTCCCCACCACATTTTCAAAAGACTGATGTCAAAACTCTTGTCTTGAAGGAATTGGACAAAATCCCCCCCCCCAATGTTATCCAAGCCTCATGCAAGTCATTAACCAAGTGTCTTCGACAAGTTCCTGATGCAGGAGAGCATATTGAATAGATGGTATTTACTGAACACCCTGTATATATAAAGTGAACATAGAAGTCAACACTTAGAGGCGACAGTCTGTTTCATGCTATATGCAATCGTCAGGCCACATATGCTGTTATTTTTCTCCGCTATTTATATATATACGGGTTAGTGGTGCATTGTGGGTATTCTATTATGGCGGTTATTTTACCGGAAGTCGTTTGTTTATTTGGGTCAAATTATATTGCTCGTTTTTATTTTTGTTTCTTATTTTATTTATTTATTTATTTATTAACATAGTAAAAATTTGTTTATATCATATATATATATATATATATATTTGACCCAAATTGTTTATATCATATATATATATATATATATATATATATTGACCCAAAAAAATAAACAAACGACTTCTGGTAAAATAACCGCCATAATAGAATACCCACAATGCACCATTAACCTGTATATATATAAATAATGGAGAAAAATAACAGCATATGTGGCCTGACGATTGCATATAGCATGAAACAGACTGTCGCCTAAGTGTTGACTTTATGTTCACTTTTATATTTACACACGCCTATCTCTGATATTGAGCACTTTATTCCATAAATATAGCACACCTTAAGACTATATTTCTTTTATATATATATATATATATATATATATGTGTGTGTGTGTGTGTGTGTGTGTGTGTGTGTATATATATATATATATATATATATATATATATAGGTAGTCTATTTTGGCAGTTATTTTACCGAAGTCGTTTATTTATTTATTTGGGTTAAATAGACTACCCACAGTGCACCACTGACCCGTATATATAAATAGCCAAGAAAAATAACAGCACTCATGGCCTGATGATTGCATCTAGCATGAAACAGACTGTCGCCTCTAAGTGTTGACTTCTATGTTCACTTTTATATTTACATACGCTCTATCTCTGATATTGATCGCTTTATCCCATAAATATAGGAAATCTTAAGACTATATTTCTTCATGTGTGTGTATATATATATATATAATTCTTATTGTCAGGTAGGTTCTGTCAATTTTTTTTTGTTTTTTGCCTTGTTACAGAGAAAGGTGTATATAATTACATGCACTCACTGAAAATTCACATAAACCAAGGAGTAGATATGTCCACAGATTAGCCTTTCTGCATTGGTGAGTCAGTATGCATGGCCCCACAAGGCTGTCAATCACAAAATATAGAGCAGATCAATCAGCTCATGCAATGATGTTACTGTGCTCTCTATATCTGTTGTGGTTTCCATTACCTTCAAAGTGTGCTTTGTGTCTGTATACACACACACACACACACATATATATATATATATATATATATATATATATATATTTATTTATTTATTTAAAATAAGAGGTCTCATGAGACCTCTTATGTAGCGTGTTGGAATCATATTTTTAAATAAATAATTATATTTATGCTCTACTTTTGTATCGAGCACTATTTTGTAAAAATAATAACTAAAATGCTAAAGAACTTTGGATTATTTACCTAATGAGTTCTTTCCTATTTTCTATATATTTTCACATATATATTTTTTTTTTTTTTCTCTTTTCCAATAATATTATTACTATTTTTTATATTCATTGGTGTTATAATCATTTTTATCATCCTAGAATCCTATCATCTCTCTTACTTACATTATATTCTCACATATACACTCTTATTAACACATGAATATAACAAAGGGGAAAAAGCCTTTTCAGTTATTCCCTCTAGTATATCTGACAATTGTCTGTCATCTGACTGGAATAAGAGACAGACCTGTGTGGTACCTGATAAAAAGCTTTATCAGGTACCATGATTAAAGGATTGAAGATTCTTGCACTATTAACATTCACTGGATTTAAAATTTAGCCTATTTCAAGCACTGAGGAATTCGATGAAAACTTTGCAATTTTTAAAAAAAACTTTATTGTGCTCCCACATGGGGATCATATTTTGGCTTGTGTGGCATCTATTTTTATGGGGCAACATGGGTTTCACTGGGTTTATGTATTTTTGGTAATCCATAGAGTATGGGTGTTTTCAGGTGATTTTTGATGGGTTTTAACGAGGAACTGTGTTCATTTTTGAAGAATTTCTTGGTTTTGATTTCAAATTTTTATGTCTTTTATGACCTTGTGTCCATTTATTTTTTAATAAATATTATCATTTTCAAGAAGGAGTCTCAATTTTGTTAATAAATATGTTTTTCCATAATTATTATTCCACCACCTTTGTCAATGAGTGACTGAGAGGAAATATATATATATATATATATATATATATGAATGAGAGAATAACTGAGAGGAAATGTGTGTGTATGTATGTATATATATATATATATATATATATATATATATATATGAATGAGAGAATAACTGAGAGGAAATGTGTGTGTATATATATATATATATATATATATATATATGAATGAGAGAATAACTGAGAGGAAATATGTGTGTGTATATATATATATGAATGAGAGAATAACTGAGAGGAAATGTATATATATATATGAATGAGAGAATAACTGAGAGGAAATGTGTATATATATATATATGAATGAGAGAATAACTGAGAGGAAATGTGTATATATATATATATGAATGAGAGAATAACTGAGAGGAAATGTGTATATATATATATGAATGAGAGAATAACTGAGAGGAAATGTGTATATATATATATATATATGAATGAGAGAATAACTGAGAGGAAATGTGTATATATATATATATATGAATGAGAGAATAACTGAGGAAATGTGTATATATATATATATATGAATGAGAGAATAACTGAGAGGAAATGTGTATATATATATATATATGAATGAAAGAATAACTGAGAGGAAATGTGTATATATATATATGAATGAGAGAATAACTGAGAGGAAATGTGTATATATATATATGAATGAGAGATAACTGAGAGGAAATGTGTATATATATATATATGAATGAGAGAATAACTGAGAGGAAATTTATATATATATATATATATGAATGAGAGAATAACTGAGAGGAAATGTGTATATATATATATATATATGAATGAGAGAATAACTGAGAGAGGAAATGTGTATATATTTATATATATGAATGAGAGAATAACTTGTGGAATGAGAGAATTTGAGAGGAAATGTGTATATATATATATATATGAATGAGAGAATAACTTTTATATATATATATATATGAATGAGAGAATAACTGAGAGGAAAATGTGTATATATATATATATGAATGAGAGAATAACTGAGAGGAAATGTATATATATATATATATATATGAATGAGAGAATAACTGAGAGGAAATGTGTATATATATATATATATATATGAATGAGAGAATAATGTGTGTATATATATATGAATGAGAGAATAACTGAATATGTGTATATATATATATATGAATGAGAGAATAACTGAGAGGAAATGTGTATATATATATATATGAATGAGAGAATAACTGAGAGGAAATGTGTATATATATATATGAATGAGAGAATAACTGAGAGGAAATGTGTATATATATATATATGAATGAGAGAATAACTGAGAGGAAATGTGTATATATATATATATGAATGAATGAGAGAATAACTGAGAGGAAATGTGTATATATATATATATGAATGAGAGAATAACTGAGAGGAAATGTGTATATATATATATATATGAATGAGAGAATAACTGAGAGGAAATGTGTATATATATATATATATGAATGAGAGAATATATAACTGAGAGGAAATGTGTATATATATATATATATGAATGAGAGAATAACTGAGAGGAAATATATATATATATATGAATGAGAGAATAACTATATATATATATATATATATGAATGAGAGAATAACTGAGAGGAAATGTGTATATATATATATATATGAATGAGAGAATAACTGAGAGGAAATGTGTATATATATATATATAATATATAGAGGAAATGTATATATATATATAGGAAAATGTATATATATATATATATGAATGAGAGAATAACTGAGAGGAAATGTATATATATATATGAATGAGAGAATAACTGAGAGGAAATGTGTATATATATATATGAATGAGAGAATAACTGAGGAAATGTATATATATATATATGAATGAGAGAATAACTGAGAGGAAATGTATATATATATATATATGAGAGGAAATGTGTATATATATATATATGAATGAGAGAATAACTGAGAGGAAATGTGTATATATATATATAATGAGAGAATAACTGAGAGGAAATGTGTATATATATATATATATGTAATGAGAGAATAACTGAGAGGAAATGTGTATATATATATATATGAATGAGAGAATAACTGAGAGGAAATGTATATATATATATATGAATGAGAGAATAACTGAGAGGAAATGTATATATATATATGAGAGAATAACTAAATGTATATATATATATATGAATGAGAGAATAACTGAGAGGAAATGTGTATATATATATATATAATGAGAGAATAACTGAGAGGAAATGTATATATATATATATATGAATGAGAAATAACTGAGAGGAAATGTGTATATATATATATATATGAATGAGAGAATAACTGAGAGGAAATGTGTATAATATATATATGAATGAGAGAATAATATATATATATATATA